GAATTTCTCAGGTGATGGGAATTTCAAATTTTGACCAGCTCTTTTATGTTTATTCTATCAAACGTGTTTACAATTTTTTATTTCCTGCTTCCTTTTCTTGTTGCTAGGGAAAGTAACTGTTATCTGATGGTTTGCACCATAGGAAAGAGCCAGGAAACTTGAGACACCAAGATAAAAATAGAAAATGTCGACAAAAAGCAGGATAAAATGTACACGGTTTCAAAATAGAAACTAGTAGGATTTCCCTGGCATAGAAATGTAGGGATACCTTGAGGGTAAATTCTGGATGCCATACCCAGAGATTTAACTGTATGTATCCCATTCATTCTAAATTAGTGTTTCTCAAACTGGGGTCGCCGCTTGTGCAGGGAAAGCCCCTGGCGGGCCGGGCCGGTTTATTTACCTGCCGCGTCCTCAGGTCTGGCCGATCGCGGCTCCCACTGGCCGCGGTTCGCTGCTCCAGGCCAATGGGGGCTGCGGGAAGTGGTTCAGGCCGAGGGATGTCCTGGCCGCCCTCCCTGCAGCCCACCAGGGGCTTTCCCTACACAAGCGGCGACCCCAGTTTGAGAAATGCTGTTCTAACTGCTGCATGGAAAATTTACCCCTTAAGTTCTGATACCTAGTGAAACCATTCTTTAATGATATATGGTTTGTAACAACTATGGCTTTAATAATTAATGGGACCAGATACTCAGCTGCTGGAAATTGGTGTAGCTCCTTGACTCCCTTATTAACAGTAATGAGAGAAAAAGAAAACAAATTGCAATTATTTAAACAAAACAGAGCAAGTTAAGAGTGGAATTTCAGCTTAGCTCTGAGTGTATTAACATAAGAGCAGCCATACTGTGTCAGACCAATGATTCATCTAGCCCAGTATCCTGTCTTCTGACAGTGGCCAATGCCAGATGCTTCAGAGGGAATGAACAGAACAGGTAGTCATCAAGTGATCCATCTCCTGTCATCGACTCCCAGTTTACCGTGGATTTATATAGTGGCATTATGATATTTTCTGTTTTATTATCTATCCCTTTCCTAATGGTTCCTAACATCCTGTTGGCTTTTTTGACTGCCACTGCACACTGAGCAGATGTTTCCAGAGAAATCCACAATTACTTCAAGATCTCTTTCTTGAGATCTTGGTAACAGCTAATTTAAATCCCACCATTTTTATGTACAGTTGGGATTATGTTTTCCAATGTGCATTACTTTGCATTTATCAACATTGAATTTCATCTGCCATTTTGTTGCCCAGTCACCCAGTTTTGTGAGATCCCTTTGTAACTCTTCACAGTCTGCTTTGGACTTAGCTATCCTGAGTAATTTTGTGTCATTCGCAAAGTTTGCCACCTCACTGTTTACCCTTTTTTACAGATCATTTATGAATGTGTTGAACAGCACTGAACCCAGTACAGATTCCTGGAGGACACCACTATTTAATGCTATCCATTCTGAAAACTGACCATTTATTCCAACCTTTTATTTCCTGTTTTACAACCCATTACTGATCAATGAGAGGTCCTTCCCTCTTATCCAAGACTGCCAACTTTTCTTGAGAGCCTTTGGTGAGGGACCTTTGCAAAGGCTTTCTGAAAGTCCAAGTAAACTATATGCACTGGATTGCCCTGTCCACATATTTGTTGACCCCCTCAAAGAATTCTAATAGATTGGGAAGGCGTGATTTCCTTTACAAATGCTGTGTTGACTCTTCCCCAAAAAATCAAGTTAATCTATGTGTCTGATAATTCTGTTTTTTACTATAGTTTCCACCATTTTGTCTGGTACTGAAATTAGGCTTACTGACCTTTAATTGCCAGCATTGCCTCTTTAAAAATAAGCATTACATTAGCTATCCTCCAGTCATTACTCCTGGGGAATTCTGTGCCAAAAATTTAAAAATTCTGATCCAAAAAATAAAAAATTCTGCACACAATATTTTAAAATTCTGCATATTTTATTTGTCAAACTAACACAATATAATCATCCTGGTTTCAGTTATTTTGGTAATTTATTTAAACTACAATACAATGGATGGAGAATGGGAGTGGGCAGCATTAGAGGAAATCCCCAAACCTCATTTGTCTAATAGTAATGTAGGTAAGTTTGACCCTGTATTTCTAGTTATTAGTCAACAAATATATGCAGCCATATGCTCAGTGTTACATCATAGGCAACTGAAGAGCAAGTGAGGGCTGATGAATCAAACTCACAATTTATATTGGCTACTGACCATCTCCAGAAAGCTCAGTAGCAAACAGTTCATGGAGCATAGTTTCATAGGAAATGTTTTCAGTCCAAACATTTAGACCAGTTCTAATCACTAAAGCACCATGAGCATTTATAAGCCATACTGTCCTTTACAATAAGACTCCTTTACAGCACTCTGGCAATGTAAAGGAGCCTTAAAATTTTTACATCTGTTTTATACTCCTGGGTAACTCACAAAGAGAATGGGAACAATTCACTAAGAACAATTCACTAAGCAGGCAGGCTGCTACATTCTGCTCTGTCTGAGGGGACAGAGCCTTCCCCATGCCTACCTGCTCAAAAACACCCCAAAGCCCTACCCCTCCATGCCAAGCATGTCGTAATAGCATGTGAGAGGGACAGAATGTCTTCCTCTCTCAGACGCATGACTGCCCAGCACCTCACCTCCCCCCTGGCGGTGATTTACATCTTTACTGGCTGCTCCAGGCACCCAAACCGACCTGCCTGAGCTGCTGGGGCGGGCATGTGACCAGTCTTGAGGCTTCCATTTGCTTCTCCGTCAGAAGTCATTTTTCTGCGGGGAAGCAAAGAAATCTGCAGGGGACATGAATTCTGTGCATGCACAGTGACACAGAATTCCACCAGGAGTAAGTCATTTGGCACAGAGGCTGATTTAAGCAATAGGTTACATACCACAGTTAGTAGTTCTGCAATTTCATATTTGAGTTCCTTCAGAACTCTTGGGTGAATACCATCTGGTCCTGGGGACTTATTACTGTTTAATTTGTCAATTTTTTCCCAAACTTCCTCTGTTGACACCTCAGTCTGGGGCTGTTCCTCAGAATTTCACCTAAAAAGAATGTCTCAGGTGTGGAAACCTTCTTCATATTCTCGGCAGTGAAGACTAATGCAAAGGATTCATTTAGCTTCTCCGCAATGGCCTTATCTTCTTTGAGTGCTCCTTTAACACCTCAATTGTCTTTCTCTTATTAGTTTAGAGAGAGACTTTTAAAACATGAATATACTTTTTTGCGATTTGATGCATTAAATTAGATTTACTGTGTATGAATTCAGTCTGGTAAACATGGGCCAGAACCTCTTCCTAGATCTGGGCCCAAGAAAATGTCTGTAGGTGTTGAGGGGGCAGAATTTTCCTCTGCCCCCAATGTGGAGTTTGACTAGCAGATATACATAGTTGCGTACGCATCGGATTCTGCTCCTCATCATACCACTGGATCTTTTGTTAGCTGGGGTAAAGGACACATCATGAAGCACAGCCCTGTGGCTCACCATATTGAGGACCCTTTTCTGGGCTTCATGTATTTTACCACCACCCACAGTGCATTAGAACTTCACTGTTTCTGTTGTGTTCAAGAGGGAGGGAAAACATTTTCCCCTTTATGATGAGGTCCAGCGTGTTTTTCTCTGCACATAAGTGGGTCCATCCAAGTCCTGATCATTTTACTTCTGTAGTATCATGGAGGTGAGTGAGAGCAGGATTTGGTTTGCTGCAAACATCTGAGTTCTTGACCTTACCTTGCATGAATTGCTGGAGGGAATCAAAATCTCAGCTTGGATTCTCTAGTGTTTGCCAAAAGCAAATTTCAAATTGCATATTCGGTTATAGAATTCTCAGCTTTGTAATTCACACTCCGTGGTTACCTACTGCCAGTCGGGAGAGAAAAGCAATGCTATGTGATTTCTGGAAGCCAGCAATATAGCACAAATCGCTAACATTCACAATGTGTGAATTATCTGCAACCCAAGAGTTATTAGCAGAAATGCAATTAGTGAATTCACTTGAATTACAAGAAAATCACAGTCTGTTTATGTACATTTCACAGACACACACACATAAATGACAAAATTTGATGAATTGAAAAAATTATTAATTCCAGATTCTTTGCTCTGCTCTAGTGGGTCATAATAGCAGTGGAAGAAAGTTGGGGATTATCAGCATTTATAGGGGCACAAGTTGCCTTGCCCTTTAAATATTCAGGGTTGGGTCCTCAGCTGGTGTAAAATATCTATCGATCAATAGACTTTTGGTAATACAATGGATACATTTAAAGATACATTTTCATGTGTCTGTTCCTCTTTCCTCACTTACAGCCATCCCCATGAATAACAATGGGAGTTACTGTATGAAAAGAAAGGCCCTAATTATGTAGGATACCATACACAGACAGGGATGAGAGAGGCTGGCTCGTTCTCTTGTTGGTAGATAACCAAGGGGATAGTTGCCCCCATAACTTTAAAATTTTCATTTTCTTAATTTAAAAATGCTGGGTTGTGTATAACTGCTGGAGGGCAGTCCCAGGCAGCCGTTGGGTACCCCAGGAGTTCAGGTCACTCTCATCACATAAGAACCTCATATGAATGAACAATGAAAACCAATGCCAGTCCTGCCAAGGGCAGAATATTTGATTTTCTTAAAGATGGAGGCAAATTTGGGTCTAAAATAAGGGATGATCTTGGTGCTGAGAAATAATACAGAGTCAGTAGAAAGGCATGTGCATCAGTGTAGAGCTGCTGTGTGTATTCATGGACACTGTCAACAACAAAATCTCTTGGACTGAGAGGACTCTGAATCTAAATAAGTTGGCAGCATCCAGGGAAATTTTAGTCATTTAGAAACTGCAGAAAATTCCACTGGCTTTCCTCCAGCACTTGTGGTTAGGTTATGTATTAAACATTTGCTGCTGTAATGCTGCAGGGGATCATTTACATAATAGAGCTGGTAGCTTATATATACTACTGGACTAAACAGTGATATGAAGTTGGCTGAGTGGTCTGGAAGTCTGTTAAAGCAGGAAGTAGCACTGATACTGAATCTAGGGACAGACGTCGTCTCACGGAGAGGAATTCTTAAGGCTGAGACTGTAAAATCACATTGAGTTACCGTGGTGCCAACATTTTCCAGTTAGCCTTCCCAACCTGATAGCAAACACTTAGCTCTTGCTGGGAGTATGAGGAAAATGAAGCGTGTCTGCGCCCGAGTCACTGGAAGGAGAAAGCTGCTGGAAGAACCTTCTGGTGAAAATACATCAATACTTCCCAAAGAGGCTCAAAAGGAGCAGAAATCAAATGGGATAGCGAGAGTGAAAAATATTGTAGACAAATTGCTGAAGAATTTGCCCCCTGTGAAGGAGAAAACTGAAGAGAAGCCTGTGGACAAAGAGTCTGGTGGGAGGCAGCATCTCTCAGGTACTCTCTGCTAGTCTGAACTCCCCACTGGCCTCCTCTGTTTCTTCTCACCATGGAGACTGTTTTCATCAGCTTCTGCCATTTGGAATAGGCTTCCTATCTCTCTCCTCCTCCTGGATTCACCCCCCGTTTCAAATCCTTTCTGAAATGTGTATTTCTCCTTGCCTATGTTTTTAAATTTTACTCCCCTTTCTGTTGCTCATTTGTATTTCACTTTGCAACTGTATTATTCATCTCTGCAAATCACCTTGGGTTAGTTTGTAAGAAATATGTGATACAAAGCAGAGTTGGGTTGTAAGAGTGTTCATATGGTGGTCTGTTCTTCCAGTAATGTGCAGGGGAGCATGCGTAGGTAACCTATCCCAACATAGCTCCCTCTCCACGCTACATCTATTGGCAGCTGCTGGGCCCTTAAATGTCGATACCAAAGAAATCTCTTGCCACAGGCAATTGATATTTAGTGATTGTTGCAAGAACCAGAGAGTTAAAAGCACATTTTTTAACTAGATGCAATAAAGTGTTTTGTAGGAAGCTGGATTCTGGGAAATATTTTCCTATGTGAGTCCCCTCCTGCAATGCCCTCCTAGATCCCGACTCTAATGACAAACCGTAAAGTTATAGACACAGTTACAGGACGAGCTGGGCTTTAGACCCCTTTTAAGGTGTGTCTACAATGCCCTCAAGCTCAGGTTTGTGGGACCTTTGCTTGGGGACTCGGTGTTTCCAAACCCGTGCTTGCATATCCACAAACTGCATTGTAAACCTGGGTTTCACAGCCTTGCTCCCACATCCACACTGCACTATGCAGACCTTTTGTCACAGGTCTGCAGCTTAACCTGCATCCATGCTGCAAAATGACAGGGCTTGGACCTGAGTCACAGCAGGTCTCAGGCTCTGACCCACCCCCAAGCAGGGTCCTAGGATTCTGGTCCTAAGTGATTGCTGACCTGAGTCAGACTGATTTGTGTGTGGATGGAAGGGGGTCTTGGGCTCAAACCTGAGTCACAGCCCGGGCTTAGTGTGCAGTGTAGACACACCCTTAATCCCTCTCGAGTGCACCCCTCAGGTGACAGACCTGGCTGCCTAAACCACTCCCAAGGTTGGAACCATGTGGCTTTACCACCCTTACACTAAATCTCAGGATTCAGCCCTCTAGCTAACCTGACAGACCCAACTGGGTTTCGCACCTGCAGGTCCTTTTCCTCTGGGAGCCTGTGACAAAATGGATTTGCAGGGACACAGAAACAGCTTCTTCAAAACAAAGCATTGGTTATTCACCCCAAGGTACAAAGCCTGCAAAGCAAAGGTACCCAGCAAAAATGCCTGTGTGCATATTCCCCCTCGCCTACACCTTAATCTTTCCTTGCAAGCTTTGATAAACTCCACTCAACACAGTTAATCCCATCTCTGGTCAGAAGAGTGACACTGCATTCTGCAGCATGCTCTGTGACTCCCTCTCCCAATGTGTGTGTGTGTCCCCATCATGACAACCCACTCAACTCCCTTCTTTCCTAGGCCAACATCTTTAAGGTTTTAGCATCCCCTTTGATCCTGGTTTAGGTCTGGGAAGAGTGCACCTTGCCATAGTAGCTGGAGCCAGGCATTGAGTATTCCCCAATCAATGGATCCTTGTTTGTCTCCTTAGAGACACTTTGTATTCTATGGACTGTACCGTATCTTTGCCATTGTTTCATTTCCTGTTGGTTTCCCCCTTCCAGCTTCTTTTCACTATGTGTAATCAGGCACAAGTATACTGAGGCGCCCAGGATATGTATAAAAAATAAGACACAACTACCTCATTCTCCACAGATGTATTTGAAATCGGTCACACCCTGGAAACAATCACCAATCACACCTGCCTGTTCAGCATTGGCGCCCATGAGAGCAGGGTTCCCTTCCTGGCTCTGCTGTAGCTAGGCTTGGAAGAGTTAGATTTTTATTGGTAAATGTCGGTAAACATTGTTTTCCCTGTGTGCACACTAACTGACAAAAAATATTTCCATCACTAATAATCAAAATTTACAGATAGGCAGAGTAAGAAAACTGCTGCTTGAGAACTTATTAGAGTTTGATTTAAGGCTATTCACTTTGTATATTTTGACTTGTGATGTTGACAATTGTGTTTTAAGGGTTATAAAGCTTTAACTTTTTGAATTGCAGCATCTACTGCCATTAAATAATTATTGTCTGACTCGTCCCATTTCCCAGAACTGAGAAAGCTTAAATCCATAAAAAATTTAAAAAAGATTAAACCCCATAATTTTGTGCAACTGTGAAAATGTAAATCGATAAAAATGTTGAAAAGTGTTGAAAAACAAACATTAATACTATTTGTCAAACTTATATATATAAAAATAGAATTCTGCGAAGCCTAATTATAGATGACTGTGGGAAAATCACTTAACCGCACCAGGCCTCAGTCTACCCACCTGTAAAATGGGAATGATTCCCTACCTCACAAGGCTGTTATGAGAATACATTCTTATTATTTGTGAGTTACTCAGTAATTACTATGATGATTGCCATAGAAAAGTCTATAGATAAGTCAATAAACTTCTGGTTGTGTTTTTACTGTTTCAGATCAAGCCGTTTGTGAATTGATAGATCAAGCAAAATTTCTTGAAGCTTGTAATCACATTTACGATCTGGAACAATCTGAACATAAGAGTGAAATAAAGATTGACTCACTTTACAAAAAAGTAGCAGAAAGAATGTGGTCAGTTGTGCAAGAAGAAATCAGTGGAGGTGATAGTAAGTTATTGGAGCCACTGAAATCAGTAGGTGCATCACTGAAGTGGGAGAAAGAGAAAGAAAAAGAATGGTTTGACAGTGTCAAAGATATGGAATCTGTTTCAACCTGGAGCCCAAAATACTGGAATAAAGATCTGGAGAAACTGCTAATGGAGTGCATGGCAACACAGATTCCCTCTTTTGTGTCTGCTAGCAACACAGATGAGTCTGCATTAAAAGATCATCTGAGTCAGTTGGAAACCACAATTTTTCCCAACCTGAGATGTAAAAGAGATGTCTTCAAAGAAGCAGGATTGCTCACTACCTATACAAAATGTTGTAATGCCTGTTTGTCCTCTCACCTTTCCACACTTACAGACGGTGATATGAGCTTCAGCAAATGTCTTCTCATTTATGAATGGGGCTTTAATATGTACAGAAGGTATGTTCCAAGTAATTCCTCTTTTACTTTATACCTTTCAGTTTCCCTCTTAGTTCTGAGCATGGTCCTTCTTGAGCTTCAAGGCAGTGATGCTGAAGGAACATAAAGGGAAAGGTTAGCCAATAACCCTTGTGGGTTAGGAGGAGAAATTGATTATAGGTATTTCTTTCGTGCAATCCTGTTTATTTACAAAGAATGGACACAAAGTCCTGTTTCCCTAAGCACAGTAGGAATCAAACAACAAGAGGCATTTTCTTTGCTCACAGTTCCAAGCTCTTTTCCAGTCAGCGCACTGTCCCAAAAACTCTCTCTTGGCTTTCTCTCATGGTCTCACTACCAGCGCTTCTCTTACTGTCTCCTTGGATTTCTTGCTGCTTTCTGTCTTCTTCTGATTTCTTCTGGCTCACAGACATGCTCAGCTCTATCAAACAATGCCCCGCCTCCCTGCGTTTGTATTCTAAATTCCTTAGACCACATGGCTCAACTCCTACTCCAGCCTTGCCATGCTGGTATGTTATTTTGGGTGGTGGCTTCTACTCATGAAAGAGGCATTTAACTGCTCCCTCATTTATCCTAATCTAATGGAAGGCAGCTATCATGCCTACCAGCACTGCCCATAGGCCAAAGACACACTTCATGGGAGCCACCCAGCCTCCTGCATAACAGTTCTTTTCTATGAGTTTGATTTTGCTTGCTCTTAGTGAATGGATTTCCTTTCCAGACCTAGGCCATGTCTACACTACAGACCTATATCGGAATAACTACGTTGCTCAAGGGCGTGAAAAAATCCACACCACTAAGTGACGTAGTTATACTGACCTAACCCCCTGTGTAGACAGTGCTATGTCGGCGTAGGAGCGTCTTCACTAAAGCGCTACAGCAGCGCAGCTGTACATGAAGACAGCTGTACATAGCACTGTACATGAAGACAAGCCCCTAGATACCTACCAATTTATAAATGGTATCATGGTAGCTGAATCCCTGACCATCTAGGGCTCTGTAGAGCACAACCTTGAACTTCACCCAGAACTGACGAGAGAGAGAGAGTCTAAAGAATAGGCATTATGGAGCAGATTGACTTCCCTATTTTGCTCACTTTGTGCTACACAGATTGGAAATCACCTGCATCTCACTTAGGGATTCCCCTGGTGTTGGGGAGTTTCCAGTGGGGTTAGGGATAGCACAGTTGGCTCCTGCATTACCCCTGCTGCAGCCCTGGCTCAGAGCACAGGAAAAAGGTGTGGCTGGATTGTATGGTGCTCCATCTGTCTTTAACTGGCAGATGGTACTCTAACCATGTTAGGGAAGAGCTGAACAAAGAATTGAGGCGCTGTAACCAGCCCTCTGGCAGTCCCCCAGCTCTGCTGCACTGAGTGGAACTCATCCGTAGCACATAATCTGCCCACCTACCCACAGATGGCTCACCCCACTCCCAAGGTCAGCCCCTGCACTCTGGCCAGGTGAAGCCTTCAAGTGCTTGTCAAGGATGGCTCAAGCACAAGACAGCTCATTGCAGCCATTTAGCCTTGAGCTTAACAAGTGAAGGGCTCACCATGGTGTGATCTGCATTAGAACAGAGCAAGCATAGTGGTGTGCACTGCTCTTCTCTGAACTCCCTGCAGGTTGTTTCTCCTGGTAATGTGGTGCCCATTACTGATCACAGTATCCTAGGGGTACTTTGTTTAGCAGGGGCAGCACTTCTTTAATGGAGAATGGAATCCAGCCTTCCCACAGGGAGACGTTAACAATTCTCACCAATAATGGAGCATCCGTGCCTGTCTACAGAATACTGGCCATGGATGCAGTTCCCTCAGTATACACCCAACCTCTTTCTAGCTACGGTACTTACATGGCTTCTATCACCATAGTATCTGAACTCACTTCTGTATTTTTAAATTATTTATAGGGGAGCACTATTATCCCCATTTTACAGCTGAGGCACAGAGAGCCTGGGGGACATGCCAAGCTTCACACAGGATGTTTGCAGCAGAGCAGGAATTGAACCTATGTTTCCCACAGCACAAGGTAGTGCTTTAAGCACTGAACATCTGTCCCTGTGTACTTAAGAACCTGTAGATGTGGCCTAGAAAGTGTTAGTGGGGATAATCATCAGTAGACCATACCAGTCGCATTAAAGTCTGGATACATTGATCATTTTTATCATTAGGGTACTGTGGGTGGGAGGCAGGGATAGCTCAGTGGTTTGAGCACTGGCCTACTAAACCCATTGTCATGAGTTCAATCCTTGAGGGGGCCATTTAGGGATCTGGGGCAAAAATCTGTCTGGGGATTGGTCCTTGTAGTGAGTCGGTGTGGCTCCCCTCCTGCCCAGAAGAGGGAGCCCACGTGCAGGCACCAGAGTGGGTGGAGCCACCGCCGCCTGTCCCCGCCCCCCGGAAGTCAAGGGGCGGGACAGGAAGTATAAAGGCCGGCCGCCAGACCTCAGTCGGCGGCCAGCCACCACAGGGAGCAGACGTGCGGCCGGGAGCTCCCGGCCAGGAGACCGCCGAAGACCGAGGCCTGGACCCTAGCTGGCCTGAGCTACCCCGGGCACGCTACGAGGAGGAGCCGCCGGAGGCCGTCCGCTCCCGTCACTGGGAGAATCCCTGGGAACCCCACCCCACCAACCCTGAGGGTGAGACTGCACCCGAACCCCTCCGCCCCTGCTGCTACCCAGAGGAGCCGCCCGAGGACCGTTGGCCTGACTTCCCGGCAGAGCTACCGGACCTGCCACCGAGCCCTGGCCGAGAGGAGCCCATGCAGATGGACTGGCCCGAGCCCGGCGCGACAAACGAGGTAGGCTTTGAGGGGGATCATGGAAGTAGCCCGGGGGTAGCCGACCCCGGTCCGGCTGCAACCGAGTGTGAGCCAATGTCAGTGTGTTGCGATCTGGATACCCCACTGACCAGCAGCGGCAGTAACCGCTGCTAGGGCCCCGGGCTGGAACGCAGTGGAGTGGGTGGGCCTGCGTTCCCCCCTGCCACCCCGCTCACGGGGGGCAGGCTTCCCCCTCACCCAGCGTTCGGCTACAGAAAGCCTAGGCATGCCATACCTGAACTATTTACTCGCTCAGTCCCCTGCGACTAAGGGTCGGAGCTAAACTGTGTTTGCCCCGCCCTGATCCAGGGCCTGGGCCCCTGAATTGCTTGCTCGCTCAGCCCCCTGCAAACAAGGGCCTGAGCTTAGCTGTGTTTGCCCCGCCCTGATCCAGGGCCAGGGCTCTGAACTACTTACTCGCTCAGTCCCCTGCAACCGAGGGCCTGAGCCCTGAGCTAACTGTCGGCTTTGCTCCACCCTGCACCAGAGAGCCGGAGCTTCGGGACTAACTGCTTGTTCCCCCAGTAGTGAGTCGGTGTGGCTCCCCTCCTGCCCGGAAGGGTCAAGCCCCGGCTAGGACCGATTACATTTGGCGCCCAACGTGGGGCACGAGCCCCTGCCCCTGTGAGAAGGGGCTAGAGGGGGAGTGGCTGTTGCCCCCCTCCCCGTTCTAAGGAATGGATATGGAGCGGCTGGTCCAGCTGCTTACGGAGAGCCAGGAGCGGCAGCAAACGGCCCAGTTGCAGCAGCAACAGCAACAGCAGGCCGCTCAGCTTGCGCAGCAACAGCAGCGAGATGCCGCCCAACTCCAGCTACAGCAGGAGCAGCACACGGCCCAGCTCGAGCAACAGCAGCAGTTGGTGCGGCAGTTGGGGGTCCAGCTGCAGCAGCTGCTGGTTATGCTCCCTCGCCCCGCGCCGGGGCTGGCGGGGGAGGCTGCGGAGATGCCGCGGTTAGCTGCCCCCCTTCGTTTGACTAAGATGGGCCCGGACGACGACCCTGAGGCCTTCCTGGTCACATTCGAGCGGGTAGCCCTCGTCGCCGGGTAGCCCAGGGACCAGTGGGCTACCCTCTTAGCCCCCTACCTGACGGGGGCGGCCCAGGTGGCCTATCGTGGATTGGCGGCTGAGGAAGCCCGGGACTACGACCTGGTGAAGGCCGCGATATTGGACGCCCTTGACGTCAGTCCTGAGACCTTCCGACAAAGGTTCCGGAGCCAGACTTACCCCGCCGGGGCCTGACCGCGGGTAGTGGCCCAGACCTTAAAAGAGGCTTGCCGACGGTGGCTGCAGCCCGACACCCGGACGGCAGAGGAGGTAACCGAGCAGGTTGTGCTAGAACAGTTTGTGCACACTCTACCCTCCCGAGGGCGCGCCTGGGTGCTTCGCCACCGGCCGGCGACGCTGGCCCAGGCAGTGTCGCTAATGGAGGACTTCCTAGCCGCCGAGAATGTAGTGGGGCCTGCCTTCCGACGCCCTGGCCCCGGGCCCAAATCAGCCCGTGGCGAAAGGAAAGGGGAACCCACGAGCGAACCACGACACCCCGCACTTAGGCCCGATTCCCGCCGCGAGACCCGGATCCGGCACCTGGACCCGGCGCCTCGGACCGGGCCAACGGCCCCGGGCCCGGGGCTCCCCAGGACTCGGCGAAGCCCCCCCCGGAGCCCAAGCCGAGAGGGGCCCCGGAGCAGACGACCTGAACTCGGTCCCTGCTTCGGGTGTGGGAAGATGGGGCATCTCCAGCAAAACTGTCCGGAGATGGATTGTAGCTATGGGCAAGTGTGGGCGGGCCACACTCGAGCCCGGCCAGCCATGAGTCCCAAGCTGACTGTCCCGGCGGCCGGCGGAGGGCAGACTACTCAGGCCTTGATCGACTCTGGCTGCGGCCAGACGTTGGTCCATAAGGACCTGGTTCCGCAGGGCGATACCCGCCTTGGATGCATCCATATACAGTGCATCCATGGAGATGTCCGACCCTACCCCAGCGCCCGGGTCCCCCTAACAATCGCGGGGGTCACCCGGTACCTGGTGGTCGGCGTAGCTCCCCATCTCGTTTATCCTGTGATCCTAGGTCGGGACTGGCCGGCCTTTGAGGAAGTCATACGTTCCACGCCGGCCCTGGAGGCCAATCGGCTAGGGTCCTCCTCCCAGACCCCCGAGCAGGGCCCGGTGACCGAGGTAGAC